CCAATCTCTTTTGAGATATAAGAGAGAGAAGAGAGCAGAGAAACAGGGGGACCTCATACCACCAAGAAAGCAGCGCTGGGAGTACAGTGCATCCTTTTGACTTGTGGTTCCTGTGTGGAGAAGCTCCTAGTCCAGGGGAAGATTGATGACAACGAACCTCCTCCAGAGCCATTAGAAAGTGAAAGCCTTCCCCTGGAGCTGATGCCCTGAATTTGGACTTCTAGCATACTAGATTGTGAGAAAATAAATTTCTCTTTGTTAAAACCATCCACTTGTTGTATTTCTGTTATAGCAGCACTAGATGACTAAGACACATTGTTTCACAGAACATCCCAGTTAATTGACCCAATAACATGGTTGGGGCTTTTGGTCTACTTCTTAGTTTGTTGTGCAGTGCTTGGGGTATTAAGAGCTTGCAAGTGGCTACCCAAGGCACAACAACTGGTCTAAATTCACCTAGAGCAACAGAAGGAGAGTCAGGAATAGGAGGAGGATATGGAATGTGTGGCTAATTGTCTCCATGAACAACTGCCTCTTTTGCCATGAGACCAGAAGAACTAGATGGTAACTGGTTACCATTACTGAACATTTTGATCAAAGTTTCCATAGAAGAATCCTGATCCAAAGGGGGAAAATGCAGAACAGAATTTCAAATTCTCATGAACTCCAGAATTTCTGGAGCCATGGAAGGTGGATGAACCCCTGAAACGATTGCCCTGAGCTCATCTTTTCTGTAAGGATGTCTTAAAACTGAGGCACCTGGCATGACTAAATGACTGACACAGGTATGAATCAAACTCCCTTTGCCCTAAATCCTTGATTCTGCTTTCAGAATATGTACACACTACCCCCACCCCCGCCATGTTGAGTGATTGAGTACGTGGTTATTCTTACTTAAAACTGTGATAAAAATGTTCTGTTCTCAGAAAATTCCTTCTGCAGTTTGTCCCAAGAAAGTCTATGATTAACTGTCATGGCCAAAAGTTTACTTGTGACTCATGTGTAACCCCCAGCCCTCTTATTTAAAAACCCCTTTCTCCTTTTGGACTTCAGAGCACTTCCTTGTGTTACCCATACTGCAGTTCTTTTATGCTACCACAACTGCAGTTCCTTTATTCCTCAATAAAACTCTTTACTTTCACTTTTAGCAGAGTATGTTTGGTTTGCTGCTTCTCCTATGACATCTAAAACTTTAAATAAAAAATATCCCATGAAGTCATCTTAAAACCAGACACTAGTTTAGTTTAACTAGTGAAAAAAAGCCTGGCTTGAGCATTATGCTCTTTTAAGAACTATCTATATGAGATCAAATTGACAATGGCAACTCAAAAGATTAGGTAGGAATCTTAAGGAGCAGTGAGTTTATGTTAATGAGGGAGGAACAACTCAGAAAAGGACTATGAGAATGATTGCACAACTCACAGAAAGTAATCAATGTCACTAAATTGTACATGTAGAAACTGCTGAATTGGTGTATGTTTTGCTGTGTATATTTTGAACAACAACAAAAGAAATAAAATTTTGAAAAAAAATTAAAAAATCATCTATTTGAGCCCAAACAGTAACACTTAGTGTAAAACAAAGATGATAAGGTCAGAGGGGACAGAGAAGCAAGCATGACGGAAACAGAACAATCAGAACAGGAATAATGATAATGTTGACACAATGAGGAAAATGTCGCCAATGTCACTGAGCAGTATGTGTAGATATTGTTAAATGGGAACCTAATTTGCTGTGTAAACTTTCACTAAAATCTCAATAAAATATTAAAACAAAATTTGGAAGTCTGTTTCAAAAAACCAAGAAATAAATTTAAATGATGTTATTAGTAGATAGGTTCAATTCTGTTTTTTAAAAAAAAGTAGTCTGGGCAGTGCCTGAGGAATATGCCATCCGACCAATGACCATTCAAACCAGTAGCATGCAAGAGTAAATCTAAACTATTTCAGGAAATTATATTTAAGTTGCAATCAAAGTGAACATCATCAGCATCAGGACAAATTGAGATCATGTGCCCTCAGTAGGATGTGATGAAGACACAGCATGATTTTTATGGTGTTCCTGCCAAAGCTGCAGACTCTGAATCTATGCATTTGTCAGCACATTAGGAAAATCCGAACTGAGAGGCATTCTACAGTCACTAACCTGCCATCTCCAAAAAGTGTTAGATCATGAAAGTTAAGGAGAGCCTGAAGAACTGTTTCAGATTGAAGGAGATTAAAGAGATATGACTGTTAAATGGAACACGTGATTCTAAGCTGGACATCTGGCAAATCTTGAATAGATTTGGAAGCTTATTTGGAGTTGTACCACCACCACCATCACCGCCAGTTGCCATGGAGTCAACTCTGATTCTAGAGACCCCATACGTGTCACCGTAGAACTTCACTCCACAGGGTTTTCAATGGCTAATTTTTCAGAAATGCAACACCAGGTCTGTCTTCTTAAGTGCCTGTGTGGATTCCAAACTCCAACCTTTCAGTTAGTAGTCAAGTGCCTTAACCATTTGTACCAGCCAAGGACTCCAGGTTCTTGATTTTGAGGCCCTTGTAGGAAAATGTCTTTGTACGAAATACACACTAAAGTGATGAGGTAATCTACAGCAACCTACACTCATAGGTTTAGGAATAATTTGTACTGTACCTGCAACTTTTTAAATAAGTTTTATACTGTTCAAAATAATAAGAATAAAAATAAAAACCAAGGCTCAAAAATTTATGTAAATTGCCTGAGGCCACATGGAAAGTAAGTGGCAGCCCCAAACTGAAATTCAGATACATCTGATTCCTAGGTCCACGCCTTTCCCCCATTTGCCACATAGTCTTGGATATCCCAGCTGCCCTCAGACCCTTCAGAAATTACCAAGCAGACCTCTGTTCTTGTTCTGTCGTCTGTAATCCCCACCCCGCCCCCACCACACACACATAACCAAGAGGAAGTCCTCTCTCATAGAGCTGCTCTGCCTCCTACTCAGGACCTGCACTGGCCAGGGGCCTGTGTCTGGGGCAGGCAGCAGGGCAGCTGAAGATATGCTCCAAATAGGAACTTGATGGTTTCTTGCTCCTATGAGTGGGGTCCACTTAGCTGAGCTCCCACCCATCCCCAGAAAATCTGCTCTCCCCAAAAATCTCAAGGACTTTTCCAACATCCAAACATGGAGATGTTTCTGTGTCTTGTCCCCCATTGTTACCATTCCTACTATTAGAGATTCTCTCCTAACCCAGCAGCTTGAATAGGGACACTCATCAATTAGTGTTTCCTATAGCATTCCACCGTTTTAGAAATTATCACTTTCTATCAGGGTATCAGACATCATCCGTTGCAAAAGACAGAAGCTGCTGCTCTCCTGTAACCTTCCTGGCACTGCCTTGCCTCCCAACAGCTGAACCTGCAGGGCAGAGAAAAGTGGAATACTTAACCATGACTGCCCATGTGCCCACTGACTCAGCTTTAGGCTTCAGGGGCAGGGACCAGTAGGCCTGGGGGTTCAGTGGTGAGCCAGGTCCCAGGGCAGACAGAGTGCTCAAGGTCAGGCTGACTTCCCTCCTCTTGAGCTGTGGGCTGTACATTTTCTGGAACCAAATCAGGAACCAAATGGACCTTTCCAGAAGCTAAAGAAGCTCTGGAGCTGGAAGAGTCCCAGGTAGAAGCCACACAGAGACATCCTTGTGTGTTGTTGTTCGGCCTCTTTGCTCTCCTGGAAAAGAGTCTGGCCCTGGATATGTTCTCTTCGCTGGTGGACATTGGGGAGTTGGTGATACTGGGACTGTGGGTGTGTCACTAGCCAGGAGAGGGGCGCAGAGCCCCAGGAGGGAAGGGGCTCCCTTGGGGAAGCGCCTCCATCTGTGAACATATAAGGGCCCTGATCTTTCACTGCTTGGGAGATGAACCCAGAGCTGGGGGAGGGTGGGTGGCCTCCAACCTACGGGAAACTTCTCTTCTGATAGACCTGGGGTTCTCGGTAGCAGGTCCTGAGCTCCCCTCAAGGATCCTAAGTGCCACTCCAGCCTGAGTGCCCTTCAAGCAAATGTGCTGTATAAACTAGATGGCACTTCCTGCCTGGCCTTTCCCAAAGTAGAGGTCCTTGTGACCTTGTGACTGGGGCCTCTGCAGGGTGGGGAGGGAGCCTGGAAGCCCCCATCCCTATAAATGGTGCTTCCCATCCCTCCATTCTGATCCTGAGTCCTTGTGGCCTGGAGGTTGTGTGGGTGAGTTTGGCCCCATCCTCTGGGTCTTCCCCACCCTTGGTCTTCCCCGCCTGGCTCCTCCCCAGAGCACCACGTTGCAGGCAATGACAACCAGCCTAGCAGCCATAGACTTGACTTGGGGCCCCAGCAAGAAGAAGGGGGCGCCCCACATCCCACTGGGAGTTGTTCCACTGAATTATAACTGTGGGTGCAAGGAAATGGACTTGAAAATATCCTTACACCCTGCTGTGCTCCTTGATAAGGCCCAGTCCCATGAGAGGCTTAGCAGGGTCTGTAGGGGCAGGGTGGGGAGGGATGAAATAGCTCCCCAAGGAGGAGACACCCCATCAGGAAGAAGAGGACTCCCCGCCATTGGCAGGGGCCCAGGTCTTGGGCTTGGGTTGTCTCCATTTACCCTTAGGACCCCAATCCCTCAGAACCTGAAAACAGGGCAGCTCAATGCCTAAGGGACAGAGTGACAGCCCGGGGGTGGGGACACAGGTCAAGAGTGTCTCCAGGGCAGGGAAGATTCAGCTGAAGTCAGGAGAGGTAAAGTGAGTTCCCCAAGGTCACAATGCAAGACCCTAACAGTAGCAGGAAAGGGGTGTGATGCCATCAGAAACCAGATGACGCTGGGAGTTTCTGTGGGCAGTCTGGGTATTCCCAGGCTCCTCTTTGGGCCTGCCATGGCCCGCAGGCTACTCCAGGTGCTTGCATCCTGAGAGAGCACAGCAGGGGTGAGGGGATCTTGGTAAGTGCTTCAGATAGGCCAACAGCCCTTCCTTCTGCAGGACAAGCTGTGAAACAAGAGCCATGTGGCTGCTCTCTCTGGCCTTCACCCTTGTCTTGCTGGTGGTGTCGGGCGTCATGTATGATATGAAAGAAGTTTGTGTGGGGAGCCCTGGCATTCCTGGCACACCTGGATCCCATGGCCTGCCAGGCAGAGATGGGAGAGATGGTATCAAAGGAGACCCTGGACCTCCAGGTACGGGGCTAGAGATACCACCTTCAACTGAGGGACAGTGTCCATCTTCAGGAGGCCCGTCCATCTAGGGCTCTGGGCTCTGGGCTCCAGGCTGGGTCCTGAACAGATGTCTAAGGGTCAGTTAAGTGGTGGGATATGGTGGGAGTTTCCTGGGGCCTTTAGGCTTGAGCAGCCCTGAGGGTCTGTCCTCACAGTGCCCAAGGGGCAACAGGTGAGTTAGCCCAGGAACAATGGAAGTCCGTTTGCATCAATCCCAACCCAGCTGTGGAGGGTACACCCTGTACATGTATGACCTCTCCCTGCAGGCCCCATGGGACCCCCTGGAGGAATGCCAGGCCTCCCTGGGAGTGATGGACCGATTGGAGCCCCTGGTGTCACCGGAGAGCGTGGAGACAAGGGAGTGCCTGGAGAGAGGGGCCCCCCAGGTGAGAAGGGTTGGGACGAGCAGGCAGTGGCATCACTGGTAGAGTGTCCAGACAGTCAGTTATGTGGCTGCCCAAAGCCCATGATGGGATTCAGCCAAAACCATGGCTACATAAGTGCCAACAGGAGGTCTCCAAAGAACAAGACTTCCAGGTAAGAGAAGACAAGGCTGGGCAACTAGTCATGGGTGTCTGGGTAGTTATGGCCAAAGCTCAGGGACTGACTTGTGTGGGAAGAAGTGCTCTGTGCAGCATGGCTCCTGTGGGGGAGACATGAGGTGCAGGTGTGGGAGGAAGGACAGCATTTCCTGGGGCTGAGGTGCTGGGGGCATTACAAAAGGAGTTCAGGCTTGCGTGGACTGGGGATTCAGGTAGATGGTCTATTTGGGAGCCCTAAAGGCAAGAAGGAGCTCCAATGTTTTGAGTAGTAACTGAGGTCCATCAAGAGATGTGGAGAGAACCCCACTTGTCCTTGATGGGAGGGGGAGGGAGCCTGCCCAGAAACCAGAAACCCCCCCTGAAGTGGGTAGCCAGCTAGCTGAGGATTGTGCCAGAAAAAAGCTGAGAGGGGGCTCCACAGGTGAAAAACTGCATGTAAGGGGCAGGTGTGTAGGGCATGTGGGAACACCTCCAGTCTCATGGACTTACAACTTGGGGTCTAGGCAGTGAGGATGGACAACTAAAGGGCAGAGTTCCAGGCCAGCTACTGGGACACCTGCTTGGCAAACTTGGGGGCCATTTTTGGCTTGCCCCTCACCCTGGATGGTGATCTTTCTGTAGGGCTTCCAGGTTATCTAGATGAGGAGCTCCAAAGCACACTCCACAACTTCAGACGGCAAATCCTGCAGCCAATGGGAGGTAAGTGGGCCCCTTGGGGCCTTACAGGGTAGGGACCTCTCCCACAGTTCCCCTCATCCTCCCCACCTGCCTCCAGAACCTGGAAATCTGACAAACAGGTGGGGACATGCAAGTCTTGGGGAGAGAATGGTGCTTCTCTTTTCAGATGTCTCTGACTAGCCCGGAGGGAAATGGGGTAGACATGCCTCCCTAAGCCCCAGGAAGCATAGGCTTCCTAAGTCTGCCCATCTTGCTTTCTGTCAAATCCCTGGGCATATCGTAGACAGTCAATAAGTAATTGTTAAATGGATGAATGAATAAACAGAAGGATGAAGCATAGCGGGGAAGTTAGAAAGACTAGGATTAGAAGAGAGGGGGAAGACAAAGAGAGGTGAAGGTGAAGAGATTGGAGACCAAGTAGGCAGAGAACTGAAACGGGGAGACAGGACTTAGGGACAGCAGCTGGTGGCATGACCTGTCACCCTTGCTCTCAGTCCTCAGCCTGCAGGGCTCCATGCTGGCAGTGGGAGAGAAGGTCTTCTCCACCAATGGGCAGTCAGTCAATTTTGACACCAGTAGAGAGTCATGTGCCAGGGCAGGAGGTCAAATTGCTGTCCCAAGGAGCCCAGAGGAGAACGCAGCCATTGCAAGCATTGTGAAGCAGCACAACACTTACGCCTACCTGGGCCTGGCCGAGGGCCCCACCACTGGAGAGTTCTACTACCTGGATGGTGGTCCTGTGAACTACACTAACTGGTACTCGGGGGAGCCCAGGGGCCAGGGCAAGGAGAGGTGCGTGGAGATGTACACAGATGGGCAGTGGAACGACAAGAACTGCCTGCAGTACCGACTGACCATCTGCGAGTTTTGAGCAGGCCATCGAGGCCACAGGAGAGGTGGGGGTCCTGCCTTCTTCCCTTTCAGCCCTCATCCTGAGCATCCACCTGTAACTCCTCTCAACAAAATTGATTTGTGGCTATTAGAGCTAGAGGCATCCATAGCTCCTCCTTTCCCTGGATGGGCCCTGGCTCCTCCCACCATCACTAATCAATCTTCACATGCCTCCTTGCTGAGCCTCTGGGCTTACACTGACCACTTCTCAGCACTGCCCTTTAGGAGCCACTCCTAACATTTGGCCTTTGGCATGACATGGGGACTTCCTTCTTCCTCATCTTGTCCAATCCCTTTATTTATAGTTGGCAACAAGGGTGTCCTGGGATGAAACAGCCCTCCAAGGTCACACAGACGGGCCTGCTTCCTGGCCCCTCAGCCGTTTCTCTGCAGCCCATTGCCTGCTCAGCCCCGTCAAGGCTTAGCAGTGCTGGGCAAACATAATGATAGAGGCTGGAAGGTTGCTAAGCTATTCCAAATGTGTGGGGCTAAGGACACACTTGGGATTACTTGGTACCCTGGACCTCTGGGGCACACCTGGTCTGGCTCTCCACAAGATCAGAAGGCCAGAAGGGACCCCAACATGGTGGAGGCCAACCCAACCCTAGTGACTGGCATGCCACTCCCTGGAGTCTAGGGTGCTCACTCAGCCACTTGACCTAAGAGCAGCCAGCCTTCGCCTCCAGGACAGACCTCCCAGACATGACCCAAGTAACTTCCTGCTGATGGACATGGCCCCGCACCACTTCAGACCTCAACGAGGCCTTCACACCACTCATCCTGGCACTGGCTTCTTTCATTTGTTCACTCAGATATTTTACTAGAATCAACAGTGTCCTGGGCACAGGCAAGGTACCCTGTCACCCTTGGGGACATTTGTTTTTCCTGAATTTATTTCATCATCTGTGCTATGGGGATAAAATACTGCTGTTACAACTATTACCATCACTCCTATTACCAAAATTACTACCACAACTACTACTACAGCCAGACTGTTTACTGAGTACATACTACGCACCAAGCACTTTGCCAAGCACTTCTAATACACCTTATCAAATATTGTTTAGTCCTTATGACAATGCCATGGGGCCAGTATTATTTTCCTGTGTTTTAGAAGAGGACACTGAAGCTCACAGAGGTTAAATGTTTTGAGTACTATCACATGGAGCAAGTGGCAAAGGCTAGATTCAACACCCTCCCGTTGAACAAAGATGATTTGAGTGTAATAAATCATGAATACGTTTGCATGAGTTTCCATTGCCTTTGTTTCCAAGAAACATCACATTTCTGAACTTTTATAACTCAAATTAACTCTGGCTCTGAGCCCCCACTTGCCTGGAGGGTGGGAGATGCAGTCTTAGGATACACTTACTTTGTTGGGCGAGAGGAGCAGTCTGCTCTCCTCCTTCAGATTGTACAATTGGCCTCTGGGATGGGCCCCTCTGCTCTTCCATGCAACCCACCCCCTGTCCTGTGGGAAACTTCTGGAAGAACATATCAGTGTCAGACTTTGATGGCTGACGCTAAGATGCCCCTGAGTTCACTTGATCTCTCTGTGGGTGGTGATATCATGCTCTTTGTTCCCCACTCAGGCACCTGGGTGGTCTCTGCAGCCCCACAATAGCGGCAGTCAGGGATCAAGATCAGGCCTCTGGGAGCTATCCCTGTCCCAAGTCAGTCTGCATAGAATGGGACCACATCCTTATTGCTTCAGGAGGCAAACATATACATGTCCCCATCCCCAGAAAGTCCCCACTCTTCCCACTGTCACACCTTGGGATGACCCCCACATTCCCACCTCGCTGTGTTTACTTCTTGGAAGACATGGCATTTAGGGCAAGCTTTAATGATTGGGTAGCAGACTTGCTTAAAAAAGGAAATGGGACATTGCAAGAAGTATCAGGTGCCAAACAAAGGCCTTGGGGGAGAGTGCGAGCAGGGCAGTTTGGCTGGAGCGTGCGTGGTAGGGTGTAGGCCTGGAAGGAGGCCTTGAGTGCCGAGTGTTGGGCGTCATGGAGAGTCAGTGCAGGGGACAGACACAGAGGTGTAAGAGCGGCATGGCCACTATTGTGGTGAGAGAAGATGGGGCAGTAGGGACAGGGGGCAGGCAGGGTTTAGGGCCTGGTCTCACTCCAAGGGTGGGGTGAGTACCCGCAGGATTGACCTCTGCTTCCTGGCAAGGCTTGGAGCACAGAGGCGCCATGGGACTATGAGTTCTAATTGGGCAGCTGGCAGGAGATGAAGCAAGAACATGGCAAAAGGTACAGGCATGTTGGGAAGAGGAGGAACTCGGAGTTGCCTGTGTTGACGTGAAAGAGGTGGCTTGTTTATTCTCTCAGTGCACATTCATCAAGCACGTCACCGGGTGCAGGGCCTCTGTACCTCACTCGGTGAGGCTGGATGCAGAGTGGCTGGACACGAAGCCAGTTCTGTCAGCAGGACACAGGACACAGGGGCACAGCAATGGTAACCAAAGTATCTGGGTGTTATATTTTGTAATATCATATTCTGAGGGCCCCATTTTCTTTTCATTTCATTTTATCTTTGGTGAAAATATACACAGCAAAACCTGCTCTCATCCCACAGTTTCTAGACATAATGATAAGTGACATTGGTTACATTCTTCACATTGTGTCAACATTCACGTTATTTCTGTTCTATTTGTTTCATTCCCATTTATGTAATCTCACTGCTCCTCAACCTTCTCATCTCTGTTTTAAAATAGCTGGGTTATTTTTTCTTCTAAAGAAACACAATATTCAAGGGTGGTAATCTTTACTCTTTGGGCTAAATGGTTACTTAGTTTAAAGGTGACTTTAGAGGAGTAGTTTCAATCCAAGGTTTGAAGACCGGTTTAGGGCCACAGCCCTGGGGTCTCCTCTAGCCTCAATTGACTTGGTAAGTCTGGATTCTTTAAGAATTTGAAGTTCTGTTCTATGTTTTTCTCCCTTTTCATCAAGATTCATCTATAGTGTTCCTGATCGGAACATTCAGTAGTGGTAGGCACCTGGGCACCATCTAGTTCTGGTCTCAAGGTGAAGGAGGCAGTGGTTCATGTAGATAATTAGTTCTGTAGTCTAGTTCTTTCTCTGATTTTTGGATTTCCTTCTTTCTCTTTGTTCCAGACAAATAAAGATCAATAGTTATATCTTAGATGGCCTCTCATAAGCTTTTAAGACCAAGAACCACATTATGCCAATTGACTGGATTGTCCCATGAGATCATGTGAAGGACACATTTTCTCCCCATTGATTTGAAACACCACCTGCATCAGACTCCTAATTCCTATATATGCACAAAACTGTTTCTGGATTATTTATTTTGTTTTACTGATTTTTTTGTTTATTATTATATTGTTCAATTTAGAGTACTGTTATGTTTTGATACCTAATGTGACAAGATATGACAAAGTTAGAACAAGTACCCCATCCACGTTATTCCTTCATCCAAATTATCTTGCATGTTCCTGCAATTTTCTTTTTCTACATGAATTTTACAATGTGTCAAGTTACATGAAAATGTGGAGATATATATGTATATATTTATGTATATGTATATACAAGTTTATACAATATATGTATATTTGTATGTGTATACATATACAAGTTTATACATATATACAAATTTATATAGGTATATGTATATATATACATATGTATATACGAAGCCCTGGTGGCACATAGTTAAGAGCTTGGCTGCTAACGAAAAGGTTGGCAGTTCGAATCCACCAGGTCCTCCTTGAAAATGCTATGGGGCAGTTCCACTCTGTCCTATAGGGTTGTTATGAGTCAGAATTGACTCAACTGCAAAGGGTTTATATATATATATATATATTTTACCATAATTGCAATGACTTTATAGCAACATGTGGGGAGAATTGATACCTCTGCAATAGCAAGTCTTTCTATGTGTGAATATGTTTCTTTTTAAACAGATCTTATTTTTTGCCTTTTCATATTTTGTGGGTTTTCTCTGTAAAGGTCTACTCATTACTTGTTTACTTTTACTTACTTTATGGTTTTACTTGCTGTTGTTAATTTACTGTTTTCTATTACTTTTTAAAGGAACCCTGGTGGCACAGTGATTAAGCTCTCAGCTTATATTATAGTATGCCAATTGACTGGATTATCTCACAAGACCATGTGAAGGGCCCATATTCTCCCCTGTTATGAATTGAATTATGTCCCTAAAAAATGTGTGCCAACTTAGCTACACCATGATTTCCATTATTGTGTGATTCGCCACCATTTTGTCATCTGATGTAATTTTCCTATGTGTTGTAAATCTTACCTCTATGATGTTAATGAGATGGGATTTGTGGCAGTTATGTTAAGGAAGCAGGACTCAGTCTACAATATTAGGCTGTATCTTGAGTCAGTCTCTTTCAAGACATAAAAGAGAGAAGCACATAGACTTCCAGGCAACATGGCACTATAGTCAGAAGCACCACGCTGTTCCTCCACAGCAAAGATCAGAAAAACTAAGTCAAACAGAGTCACATGTCAATCCTGAAACCCTAAGCATCATATGAAGAGATAAAGAACTCAGCCAAGCACCGAATGGAATACAAAACTGACTGAGAACAGAGAGCTAGGAGAGATACATGCAGAGGTCCCCTATCAGCTACTGCAGCTTGGATCTGCCATCTTGGACTCCTATTAGAGATCAGCGAACAGGGGGTACGAGAAAGCAGTTTCATGGAGCTTCCAGGAGGAGACAGAACAACCAGTAACCAGTGATATAGGCTTTCCCACCCCCCTTTTCTTCACCCTCACCTAGCCTCCTCTGGTTCCTGCAGCCACAGTCTCTCGGCTGGGAAGCACCAGTTTCACCCTGGTGTTGCTTGGATTCCACCTGCCCGCACTGGCCAGCTCCCTGAGTGCCTTTTGTTGGCTGCAGGTGTTGCTTTTTTCTGCTTTAGATTTCTCTTTAGATTTCTTCCTTACCTCTCACCACCTCCCCTTCTTTTATCTCAAATAC